AATTTGGGTATCAGACTTTTATAGAGAAAAATAAACCTACTGAAGTAATTTCTTTTATAGAAAACATTTCAGAAGAGGTACATGATGACCCACTTTTGGCAGCAGAAAATATTCCAAATAATGAGGATATAGTAATTATTATGCCTATTGACAGTGCCCTTGAATATCTCGATGATCTTGCAGATAACTACGTCTTTGAATTAATGGAGAATGGAAATGGTCCCTCACTCACTAGGGACTCCAATGTATTTGAATCTCATGCAACCAATACCAGGGTTTCTGTCTCTGAGCATTCATCTCAAGTATCTTCAAGTGATATGAAAACTAGCAAAAAATACCAAGACATGGTCTCCAAAGAGGAAAATCATAATTCTGATAAGGATGCTATTGTTCCTACACCTTCTACTATGGCTCCCAGCTCCATGATTTATTCTTTAACTGACTCAAGTTGGGCTTTTTCTCCTGAGTTTCTAGATGAAACCATTAAGGAACATAGTTCTCTAATTGGAGTTAACACCATTATCATTCCCCTGAAAGATGAAAGAATGGAGTACCCACTTGTTTCAAATGCAGAACTAATGACAACAGGAGAGGGTAGAATGTTCACAACTGAATCCATTAACCCTGCTATCATCACCAATCCTATAGAATATAAAGATGAATTCAACAGGAAAGGTGCCCTATCTGCTTTTTATAACAATGTCGTACCAGATGAAACAAAATCCACCCTATCAGTCAGATTTGATGCAAATAAACATAAACCAAACTTGGCATATAGGCCCTACTCAGAGAACAATGTTGTTCCTTTGGCTGAGTTCAGTGCAATTCTTGATGGTGATCTTTCCTTCATCAGTAAAGATACTGAGAAAACAAACAGGCCATCTTCACCTATGAATAAAGCAACCAGCCTTGTGGCTGATTCCATTGTTCTTTCCACAGAAAGGAGTTATGAAGGAAGTGATTCTATGTTATCTGAAGAAGATAATGTCAACTCTAAAGGATTCTCATCTTTATTGACATCTGGCATGCTCATTTCTAATTCCTTAACTGAAAATCCTGACACCTCTGGCTTAATAACATATAATTCCTTGCCTGAATCTTTATTCTCTAGTTCAAAAATATTAGAGAGAGCAACTGAATATGCTGATACCAACAGTGGGGGTGATGTTTCAGAAAGGCAAATCATAATTCAGGCTGATGTTTCTCCCTATATATTAGCTGGAGATGCTCCTCCAAGTAGATCAACCACTTTTTCAGACAATCCCACAGATGGGGTAGTTGATTCATTTTTCTTTTTGAATAGTGATAATCCTGAGAATTATAAAATTGAGAATGAAAAAATATGTCCCAAATCTCAAAGAGCAAGGATGTAACCCTTTTCCTCTAGAAAAGACTCTCAAAGCAGTGTCTATGAGAGAAGAAAAATAGCTATCCTTTTTGATCAAGAAGATCCAACTGCTAAATTTGACTTAAGTCACTTTACAAATGCAACAGTTTTCATTCTAGCTGTGGTTAAAATCTTTCCAGTAGCAACTGAAGCCAATTCTTTATGCAAGTGTGACAACAGTGTAGATGATTTTTTCCCTATTAAATTGGATGACACTTCTTTCAAACCTCAGATATCCCCCAGCTTCAAAGGAATCATTCTAGCTGATTCCACATTAACTCCTCTAGAAGCATCTAAGACTAACTCTCACAATAAAGTCATTGACACAGGAGGGTTCATCACAAACATTCCAATTAAATTATGTGGCCTACAAGGGAAGTTAACTTCTTCTTCTGATTCCACAACAACCATGGGAACTTCCAAATATTCTGAAATTATTCCTGTTGCCACTATAGATGAAGATACTACAAAAAATATTGGTAACATTTCTCCTGAGGAAATAATAATTCCATCTGATCAAGTTATCATTTTGCCTTTTTCCATTACTTCTGAAAAAGGCATAGCAAGTACTTTTAAAGGGGATCTATTTAAGCACAAATATTTTAAAGAAAGAGAGATGGCTGCTGACGATGAAATCATTTCTATGGAAGACATTTCAAAACAGTTGGATGACATCTCTTCTGCGGACAAAATCACTCCAGGATATGTGAACCATATATTAATTACATCTGATGGCAGCATTTCTGAATATGTCTCAGACAAGCAAGACTCTGAACTAAAGAATACAACAATTCCCTTATAAAAATGAGTAGACTCTGGTCTCCCTGGTGGCTCAGGGGTTAAAGACACAGCACTAACAAGCTATTACCAGCCACTGAGGCATGAGTTCAATCCCCAGCCAGGGAGCTGACACACATGGCACAGAAGACCTCTCCTGTCTCACCCGCTGCTACCCTCAGCAGTGTATCTCAGGAGATCTGCCTGTTCTGCTCCCCACTCTGTCTCTGGTGAATCCTCTCACCCCTCCCACACCTCTGGCCTACACCCTGGTTCTTGTATGCATAAATAAATAAATCTTTAAAAAAATGAATTGACTCATATCTACCCCCAAGACATGTGTGTCTAATGCATCTTATACCACTGATTCAGGGTTTTCCTAAAGCAGAGTTTATTCACAGAGTTTAAATATAAAGAAAATTACCAAGCTATGAATTACATGGCCTAGGCAGGAAAACAAGAATTTTGACACGGATTCCACTATTTTCAAATATTCTAATGCCAATATCAATAGCAAGTCTTATAAATGCACAATTTGCTTCTCAATTGATGAAAGTGAGAATTTTCCTTATAGTTTTTCTGACAAAACATCTGTGATGAAAAGTACCATAAATGGTGATGATGACACCATAATTATCTCTGAAGACTTTGACTCAGGAAATAAAATAATTGAGTATTCCCTTTTTCCAGACATAAAACCCATTACTAACAGCAGGACATTCACCACTGACACAATTAAGTATGCTTGAGAATATCTCAAGATACTCTCCACACAAAGTCTCAGTGGTTTCATCCTATGGCATCAACATTTTCAAAGTCTATCTCTAGGACACTTCCAAGTATACCTGAAAATCATAAATGTGCCAAATGAACTTCCTAGGAGTTTGAAGAGAAATGTTCCCCTTCTGTTAGCAGTTTACAATTTTTCAATTTAAAAAAAAAAGAGCATCATTTCATAATGGACTTGAAGAAGTAGTTACTTAAAGGAATGTATAATCATTAACTAAGCCAAACACCTCAAAACTTAGGGCATATAAAAATACATTACTAAGTAAGGTAGAGATAGGCAGACAGACAGACATATAGATAAACTTCGAGGTTGTCTATATCTAATAAAGATTAGCATTTGCCTTTGAAATGGAAACAAGTACTCTGGCTAATGCTACTGTTTTTGAGTCTGAAAATTCTTCTCAACTACACTAGGAATAGATGAACACCAGACTACAATTTCCTTTCATATAATTAGTTAGACATTAAGAATGGTAACAAAATGATACTGTTATAATTAAAGTGACTACAGAAAATACTCCCTTTGGAATTAAAGATATAATTCTTAATGATTAAAGATATAATTAAAGATATAATTCTTAACATTACTCCACAAACTGATCTTTTTTTTTGGTTGAATTCTGACACATAAAACTAACTCCCCTGCCAGAAAATTTATGGAGGGTTGAAATAACACTCTACCAAAAAAAAAATGACTAAAGAAAATAAACCTACAAGATCTGATATTCTTATTGTTATTCAAGTTAATTCAAGAGAAAGACATCTTTACAGACACATCACCCAAAGCAGTGATAGTGAAGAGAAAGATAAACAGCTGGGACTACATCAAATTAAAGAGCTTCTGCACAGCAAAAGAGACAATAACAAAAACAAAGAGAAACCCCACCAACTGGGAGAACATTTTTGCACCCAACACTAATGATAAAGGACTGATCACAAAAATCTGCAAAGAGCTGATGAGACTCAGCAACAACAAAGAAAATAATCCAGTCAAAAAATGGGCAGAAGAGCTAAAAAGAAACTTCTCTGAAGAGGAAATGCAAATGGCCAACAGACATATGAAAAAATGTTCAACATCACTTGTAATCAGGGAAATGCAAATCAAAACTACCATGAGATACCATCTCACACCAGTGAGAATGGCACATATTAAAAAAACTAGCAACAACAAATGTTGGCGAGGATGTGGAGAAAAAGGAACTCTTGTGCACTGTTGGTGGGAGTGCAAACTGGTCCAACCACTATGGAGAGCTGTGTGGAGATTTCTGGACCTACTAAACATAGAGCTTCCATATGATCCAGCAATTCCACTCCTAGGTATTTACCCAAAGGACACAGAAACATCAATTCCAAAGAGCACCTGCACTCCTATGTTTATAGCAGCACTGTTTACAATAGCTAAGCTTTGGAAACAACCCAAATGCCCAAAAATAGATGACTGGATCAAGAAGATGTGGTACATATATACCATGGAATATTACTCAGCATTCAAAAAAGATAAACACATGCAATTTGCAGCAACATGGATGGCACTGGAAGGGATCATGCTCAGCGAAATAAGCCAAAAAGAAAAAGAAAAATACCGGATGGTCTCACTCATAGCAGGAATCTAGAAAACTTAAAGAAGGGACCAGGAACATGAATATAAGAAAGTGAAAATCAAAATCAACAAAAAACTATGAACCAGAGACACTTTTTGGGGGGTGGGGGGCGGGAGGGGAAGGATTGGGGTCAGAATGGGGCGTTTGCAATTGTATGGGGAATATAAAATAAAATTTAATATTTAAAAAAAAAAAAAAAGAGAAAGTAAGAATTACGATGAAGAAAACTACAAAGACACTACCAGGCCAGTAACTTTTCTTTTTAATTACCCCTACTGAAAACATGAGAATTCCCTCTCTGAACAAGAAAACTAACTGAAATCCCTGTACCTATCTCCCTTCTGCAGCTACATTTACTGTAAAAATCACCATTAATTTTTTTAGATACTTAAATACCATGACTCTCAAGAGAAGAGGCTTTACTTCAACAAGAAACCATTACTGACCTGAAAGTCAGGCAACGTGAAGTCATGCTGATAATCTTGTACTACTGAAGTTTCCCCAATTACACTAAGACCACATAGTGCCTGAGAAACTCTGTTAAGTCTGTTTCAAATGACACTAGCTTCACATTGAAAGTCATATGCCTTATAAACAGAAAAATGGTAAAAACCCAAGTTTCTTGCAATTGACATATATAGTTGTGAATGTTGATTTTATAATAAAATCAGAGAGGACTCTGTAGTCTTTTCATCCAATATCAATACTCTTGCAACTAGATGTCCAATGACAGGACAAAAACAACCTCTAAGGAGAGACAGTGCCATTGGCCCTGTGGTTGATGCAACAATCACCATGATGACTAATGCTTCAGTCACTATAATGAACATCACTCTCCTGCCTAGAGATACCACTGGGCACAGGGAAAGATCTGTAAAGTGTTTATGGTGCCACTTTGTCCCATGGCTGAAGATGGTCTGCCAAATATTTATTCTCCTCCTCCAAAAGAAAACAGTAAAACTGAAGCAACCATTTTCTTTGGGGCTGACAATACTATTTCTAGAACAGAAACATCTTTTACTTCAGAAGGAGACCACATTACTTCAGTAAACGACTATAGACCAGAAAGTGACTTCTCAACAACTACAGGTAACAAACTTCCATCTCCAAAGGAAAGAATAAAATCAGAAGATGATGTAGAACCCCATGTTATCAAGCCAACAATCCATCTGGAGAAAGAAATCACTGCTCTGACAGGCACTGCAAACACCATGGCTAATGACTCTTTTATTGGAAATCTCATTCCAGTGAAAATTGGTAATAACTCATCACTAGTTGCTACTGTTTCATTAATAGATTTTTCCACTAACACAGCAGAAAAAGATATCCCCTTGGACAACACTGACCCAGGAGATAACAATGTCTTAATAACTTCTGAAGTCTCAAGTGAAAGTACCATCAGGATTACTGACAGCCCTGTGCTTCCAGCTAAGAAGAATGGACCTGCTGTTGACAATTGCAGTTCTTCAGTTAAATCCAGTATCACTGATAATGCGGCTATCCAGATCATTGATTACTCTACTCCTGAGGCTGAAAAATCTCTCACTACTGAAAAAAACATCACTATTCCAGACATAACCAACCTTACAGAACAGAAAATAACTGAAATTGATCTAATTCTTCCAGAGGATGACACCAATGCTGAGCCTCAACTAATGGAGTCTGATGAAGAAAAGCTTATCACTGTGTTTGAACTCACTACCACTGCAGAAAAAGACAAAGATAACTCAGAAGATATGTTAACTAATGAAGACTCTGTGGATGGAGTCAATGTCTGGATGGAGAAAGAGACTGCAAATGAAGCTGAGAACCAGCCCATTTTGCTTACTGCTGTTGAATCCAGATATGACTTTGTTGTCCCTGCATCAGTAGGTATGAATGTCATGGAAGATTCATCTACTACAAAAGATCTTTCTGAAAATAACAGAACAGAACCTGAGGCATTTTCAGGAACTAGCCCTATTTTTGATACCCCAAACCACAAGGAAGACACTTTTACAACTGAAATGGGTGTCTTTAAACTACTCAAAGAAGATCCAGATGAGTTCCTGATTTGAAAGCAGCAAATGAGTTATCACATAGAAAAGTGCAATAGCCTAGACAGCTAGTCTTCATATCTAAGTTTGTCCAGCAAGCAAAAATCTTTTCAAAACTGAAAGAATATGGGCACGTAAGGCAAGTATTAGAAAATGCAGAAAGATGTTACGCAGCATACAGATAGATGTTACGCAGCAGAATATATTTATAGAAACTTTTAAAAGTCAGCAGCACAAGAGTTCCCCTAGCATCACAAAGTTTCATTGAGTTTTTCAATAATACTTATCCTAATAAAAATTATTTAATCCCTGTGCTTGGCATATGAAGAGCAATGAAGAAAGCTCATTTCCTGCCACCTCTAGTGATATATATTAATTCAGTTAGTCCTCAAAAGCATATTTTAGTGAGTTAAAGATACAAAGATAATCAATTTAAAAACATATCCCCCAAAAAGTTACAGTATTAAAATATATGAAATGCTCTTTTAAACAGATATTTTTCATAATATGAAACTAGTGAGTCTCTTCTATTCAAAATATATTTGCAGTGCTCACTCATAGGAGAATTGAGGCTATTCAGTAATTGTTTGGCACCCACATAAAGGTAGAAATATTATAGGATTCTTGGCCCCTGCTGGATTCAAAATAAGACAAAATCTTGGTTTTATATTTTATAGACCCATTTGTTAGAAACAATATTCTGTATAAATATGTCACTCCATTTAATTTACTTTCTTTAAAATTTCTTTTCTGAATTTCTTCAATTTTTTTCAGGTCTTAAACACTGACACAGCACTCCTCTTACGCTTTTGGTTAGTGATTCAAGGACATTTATCTCCATTCTTTTCTGATGCAGCCTTTTAAAATGGGTCTGTTTTCACTTTGCTGATTTTTCTTCAATAAATCTTGTTGGCAGCAACTGATTTACTGTGTGTAGATGTGCTTCATAATCTAGTATAGAATTCCCAAATTAGGAAAGATACAAGAAAAAGGAAAAATCCATTATTTGTTTAAAGAATAACTTAGCACTGGACACCAAGAATAGAATTATTCCATGGATACTCATAATTTTATTATACCTAAGAAAAGCCAAAATACTGAATGAATAATACTACCTTGGGTGGGGGATGGAGAGAGAGGGACTTAAACCATCAGACACTAGACTAGGAAAATAATTGCCTCATGTATGACAGTGAAAAGGTTAATAAACTTACTCTATGAAAAGTTTCTACAGATAAGGCATTGTAAATGGGCAATAGAAATAAAGATAATTCATGGAACACATATTACTAGTAAACATAAAAAAATTCATTGCAGTATTCATAAACAGTAAAATTATTAGATAGATTTTATATATTTGACCATCATTTTTAATATTCACATTTATATACATTATTTTTGTTCATTTATTGTTTCATATCTCCAAAAAGACTTATTGTAAAAAAGGGAAAGTAAGGACGCTTGCCAGAAAGAGCTGCCAACAAGAACAATTTTAAATATCCATTATTGGCAATGAAAATATTCCCTACCTTTCTGGGTAGCAATTTGGCAATATATGTAACAAGCATTAAAAATTCAAAGTTTTTAGCCCAGCAAATTTACACCAAAGAACTTTCTCAAGAATCAAAGCCTAAAATAGCTAAGTTATTTAGCTCTTATTACAGATTTTGCTGTGTTTGCACGTAGACTAACATTTGCTTTCCATGGTAACCATATGAAGAACATATTGTATCCATTTTACAGACAAAGAAACTGAATCAGAAAATCTATGTGATATCTCAAGTCTCACAATCAATATGTAGCAAAAGATTCAAACCAGGCAGTATTCCTCCTCCAGGGCTCATGTTCTCTTAAACACTATGCTGTACTGCCTCTCACAAATATAAATATAAGGGTGCTGTCAAAGCCATTCAAGAAAGTGATTTTATATGTTTATAAAGGAGAAACATTAAAGCAACCTAAAATTCTGTGACATAGAATTGGTTACATTTCTTTATATATCCACATGAAATAATAGTATGCACCTTTTAGAACTGTATATAAGAATTTTAATCACATAGGGAAAAGTTCACACTAAACTCCTAAACAAATGTACATGGTGGTATGTCTATCAAAGAGATACACATAACTATCTTAACAGTGATTATTCAGAAACCTGCAGGCAATTTTGATTAATTTTCTGCACTTTAAAAAAATTTTTAACTGCAGTAATATTGGTATTACCACTACAAAGCTTTAAATACATATTTCAATACTTATCAATACTTATCAGTATATTCCATTTACACTGTTAACCAGAATAACAAAATAAGCATAAGCTTAACTAAAGAGACCCCTTGACATAACAATTTTATGATGAAATCTGAGAGCACGAGTATCATTCCCTACCCAAGTTGGTTTCCTCTCTCATAGAAACAAGTATCTTGTGAGTAGACATCTTCACATTTTCTCTCATTTTATACAATTTTGGATTAAATAGAATTTTCAACAACGTCAGAAAAGAAAAGGATGTCTGTATATGTTTATTTGGTGAAAAAGCATTATCACCTAAATTTATGCCAGGAAATCTACAAATTGATAAGAGACATGAAATGCCTCAGTCTGTCTATAGCTTACTCACTATATTAATCAAAAATTCTCTTAATTAAAAATACTTTGGTGCAGAAGAACAAAAAGCTGTGGAAATAAATCTGAGTTAAAATGCTGATTCTTGAATCTATATGCAGGTTACTTATTTTCTCAAATCAGTTTTTCCAAGTACAGAATTATTATCTATGTAAATGCACACAGATCTACATTTACATATTGACTTAATTTGCTCCCATTGTAATGTTATCCTTAAAAATAAGAGAATATTAATAAACTGAAAAAACAATAACCAAGCAAACATCGTCTAGTGCCCTCAAATTCACCTTTAGAATAAAAAGGTTGGAGGTTGTCGTCTGATCTGTCATTCATCACCGGATGAATTGTTAACAGCTAACTTGAAAGAAAAGCATCACAAATCTGATTACCCACCAGTAGACCTTCCATGTGTAAGTATATAGTGTTTTTCTATCTTTCTGATGATGAAAGACATTTTCCTGGAAAGTAAAAGTTACTGACATCAAAGCATATGTTAACACATTACAATGTTCATATTTTATATTGTTCAATAACTAATGTGTTTCTTCTGGGTAAGGTAATTACAGCAGCACATATTATCTTCTGTTACAATTTAAAGAATCACTGTTAGTGTAGAGTAAAAGCATATTAAGGGGTTTCAAATATTTTGTTATCTTTTTCTTATTTTTATGTCTAGAAAATACAAGAAAAGAATGCAATGTTTGCAGTTGCCCTCCAACTACTAATGTTTAAGTGGAACAAATTTTAAATTTACCTAAAAATTAACTATCAGAAGTGAAGAAATTTACTTAAAAAGCTAACAACACAAAAGAAGGAACCATCACAAAGTATTTTTGTTTCTCCCAGGCCCAGAGTCTACAACATTAGTTTATAGTACCTAGGCAAATAATAGTCTGATTATGATGCTGAATAAATGTCTTTTTGGAAAAAAAAAATATATATATAGTAAATATCAGAGCATTTAAATTATGAAAATGTTGATTAAACCTAGGGCTTATGGCAAGTTTCAATAATTATTGCTTTGTTGTAAAATGTCAAGTTATTTAAGAAAACATCTGAAATAAAGGAGTTAACTGAAAGTATTATCTTTAAATAACAAAGAATAAGCATTTACTAATTTTGATGCACAAATAATTAGCCTTGATGTTTTTGAGAAAAATGAAAAGGACAAATGTCAACCTTTAAAGATTATAACACTTTTTTTTTTTTTTTTTGCTTTAGGGCGTAGTTTGGACTAATCCAGAAGCAAATGCTAAATAATAATATTTGTTTAGCAATGTGAGCAAAATAGAAAAATAAAGGAGAGAAGAAAAATCCTTTATAAGCAGGAGTCACCTGGACTCTGAGTTTCCAGACTTCAGGAACTGAGGTAAGATTGACATTGCTAAATGAGCAGAAAGAGGATCATTTTTTATGATTTGAAATTTCAAAAGCTTAAAACAATTTTCTTTAGACTCTGATTATATCTGGTTTCTAATATAATTCAGTGTATTTGTAATTAAAAATTACAATGTAATTAAAAATCTAATTAGATCTCAAACTCCACTGTCCAGAGTGTGTATAGACAATGCATTTGAAAGAAAAAGATCATAATTTTGAAAATGTTCCACCCACTTTTATTAGAAAAATATTAATATTTCAGTAAACATGATTAAAAAAATTTAAGTTTGTCCTGTAGAATCCCAAACTGCTTTTAATGGACTATTTCAGATGTGAATTCGTATTTTAGCTTTGTACCTACAAAAAATGTTTTCTTGTGACAGAAATATCCATTCTACTAAATCATTCAGGAAATAAATGGGCCTGATTTCAATTAATTGAATGTTTCCATTTTATTTCTTATTACAATGGAAAAGACATACATATATAATTACATCTTATATTTAACTTGATTGTTACTGCTTCACATGAAGATTTTAATAACTTGGTTTTCTATTTTCATTCTGAGAACTCTGGGATGTAACAATGTCATTAAATATATTAATCACTTCATTTAAAAATTAGGAAAATGAGCCTCAGATAATTTAGATAATGTGACCAAAATTTGACAAATGAAGTTCAACTCTTTTGACTATGAGTCCAGTGATCTTTCCCTTAAAAGCACAGGAAATATCTTATTGAATAAAGTCTTTGCTAAAAGATAATCTCCATTGATTATGTCGTATCATTTTTTTAATGCTGTAACTTAAAGATTAGAAAAGCAATCATGCTTAAAGCTGAGATTTTGTAAGTATAAATAATTAGCCACTATTCCTCTACTTCACTACTTTTCATCCTTGGGGAAACAATAAGCTAAGTAAATGGTGACCAAAAAAAAAAGTGATTCATTACTGACATATGAATGTAAAATTATGACACCAGGATAATTTTATAGTAGTGTTCAAATAACTCTAATTAGAATGATGGGATTGGGGACTTTTTGATTTTTCATTTCACTTGGATAAGAGAATCTAGTAATAATGAATATATCAAAAGAAAATTAAAAGTCTAGCAGAAAATGTGAATTTTTTAAGAAACTCAAAGATAATTAATAGTGATACCATGATTAAATACTTCATATTGGAGCCTCCCTGGTGGTGCAGGGGTTAAAGTCTCAGCACTATTACACTGTCCCTAGCCACTGCAGCCTGAGTTTGATCCCCAGCCAGGGAGCTGACCCACATAACCCAGTAGACCTCTCCTGCCTGGCCCGCTGCTCCCCTCAGCAGTGTATCTTCAGTCCATCGACCTGTTCTGCTCCCCACTCTGTCTCTGGTGAATCCTCTTACCCGCCTGGCCCGCACCTCTGGCCTGCACCCCAGTTCTTGTATACAAAAATAAATCTTTTTAAAAAATTAAATAAAATTTCATACTATAATGAAATTGTAAGTTAACACTGTATTTAATTATAAGTTAACATCTTAAATTATAAGTTTATATCTTAAGTTTGTATCTTTTTTATTTTTTTTTTGGTGGGACCCTTGCCGGCGGCTGGGGAACGAACCGGCACTGCAGAGGCTGTGGGCAGCCTCGCAGCAACCACTGCGCCACCAGGGGAGGCCCTTAAGTTTATATATTAAATTACAAATTAACATTTAAAATTTTCTGTCTAGGGTTTCTCTCTCTATTAAAATCAGAACCAAAAGATCATTCTGAAGGCAATTTCTTCATTTCTTTTATGTGTTTTAATTGTAAAATTAATAAAGCTCCATGACATTTTTGATAATAGAAAATTCATATCAGAATTAAACTATCATTCCAAAATTATTTTGATTTTTGCTTACATATCCCTGTCCTTATCTATTTGGATAATATGGTATTGGAACTTTTCCCTTATGATTTCTAAAAATTAAGATTTTATCAAGTTAAAGGTATGAATATTTTCATATTGGTTTCACATTTTACAAAAATGTAATTATCTCAATAGAACCAATGGTTGGGTACAAGGAAATCACCTCATCACAATTTTTATATTTTTATTTTACCTTAAGTAACTATTTAGTAAATGTAAACTAACTGTTCAACGGATATGACACTTCTTAACAATCAAACAAGGACTAACTTTCATCTGTTGGAGTTCATTTTCTTAAACTTTGTTCATATCTATTGTACTAGATTTTTTAAATAAATTTGATAAGCTCTTATGGCACCATAGATTTAATTATGCCATAGATATGCCATAGCATGCATAAATGCTTTTCCTTTCGTTAAAAAATAATAAAAACAAAATTATTTCTTATTTTCCATTAGCAAAGAAGCATCTTCTGCTGCATATGTCCAGAAGACCCTAAGAGAAGATGAAGGCTCTCATTTTGATTGCTGTCATCTTTACTTTCATTGCTTCTATCTCGGTAAACACTTAATATATTACATAAATTTAGTTTCTTACCTAGATCCTAATCATAAAGTTTCCATTCAGTTCCTCATCTTATGTCACCAAAGCTTTATATTACATTAACCTTGCTTTAATTTTACTTTTGCATAGAACATTAATTTAACTTTTTCTGTGATCTTTTGTTGGCCTTCAGATGTAACAATATTTTTATTTCTTTTTCAATACAGTGCTACTCTGTAGAAATTCTATATGTGTAAGCAGGATGTTGTCCTGTAATAGTTTTAAATTGTTTATTCTGACTCTACCTCTCCAATGGCGTTCCTGGGTAACATGTAGTCGTTGGCAGTATTCTCTGAAAGAAAAATGTGTGAAGAAGGAAAACTGATTCAAAGAACCCTATAAAATAAATCTGCAGCTAAATACAAGATTTCACAAGAATCAAATAAGCTAAGAAATTCTAGACATGATATATAACTTTCAAGTGAAAGCACGTGCATGTTACAATCTAACATACTTAGATTTGTTTTCCTAATCCCTACAACAATATTATATTATCTCAGGGTTAAGGAGATAGTATTTAAGAGTTACTGCTACAAACATAATCCAGTGTCATTTAATTATCAACAAATGTTTTGTGTGCACTATTAAACATGAGAACTGCATTATTCCCTCTCTTCCCATACTAAATACACATTAAAATACAGCAAGGATTTCCCATGCAGTGTAAAAAATCCTACTCCAGAGCTCTCTGAACCATCCTTTTTTTTTCTTTTCTGCACAAAAAATAGCCCAGTTTTTCCTTATACCAAGTTCATAAAGATCTTAGTTTCATAACTAACCTTGCCTCCAGTTACTTCTCTCTTAAAATGCCTCCACCTCAATCTGCAAAGTGGGAGTAAGGCAGCTTAGTACAGAAAAAGCAAAGTTTACTAGGGGTCAATACCAAACACTACCTACATTTGCACATGAATGAATAATTATTATTATGATAAAATGAATAAAATCTGGTACCACCTGGAAACTAACAGGTTGGCAACATACATGAGAATGAGGATTAACAGGAACCCTTCTGCTGGAAGATCTCCAAAAGATGATAATCCTTATAGCATGAACTGTACACTATTTAGACTGCTACAGGGTTCTTCACATTTAATGTTGACATCAAACATTCTGAAATTGTGCTCCATTCTATTTACTTTCACCCAATTACATTTTACCTTCATAAATAATTATAATTAATGTTCTTAACATGCCATCTATATACATGCCACCTATATATATATATATATATATATATACACATACATCGATTTTTCTACATGTATTTATATTCTCCATTTCATTTTAGTCGGTCGGTGGACATAAGCAAACAAGTCACCAAAAAGTAAGTTTTATTTATATTTTTGTATTTTCTTTTAAAATTAAAAGTTCTTAGGAGTTGAAAATGTTCAAATATTTTCTTTTATTCCCAATCTAAGAAAATGTTGAGAACTAGGCCAATTATCAAATTACCAAAGTTTAGGAAACCAGTGGGAATTTTTCTGAACACCAAAACCTTGCCTCCAGTTACCTCTCTCTTAAAATGCCTCCATCTCAATCTGCAAAGAGGGAGTAAGGCAGCTTAGTACAGAAAAAGCAAAGTTTACCAGGAGTCAGTACCAAACACTATCTACATTTGATTATTTTTATATATTCATGGCTTTTTTTAATAAGGATCATTTCCTATGATCCCACAAAAAAAAACTAGTTTGTATTTCTCATAATCAACTTTTGTTCATGAATAGGAAACAAATATCAGATGGTTTTACTTACATACAGGGAAACAAAACAAAGAGTTAGTCAAAACCAAACCAATAACAAACCTAGGAATTCCAATTCCAAACCTAGGAATCTGTCTGTAGAACTGAGGATACCAGAGGGGAGAGGGAGGGTAGAAAGAAAAAGAGTTGGGGGAGTCCAATGAACTATGGTGGAGGATTATGGGTACCTTGGCGGTGGAAGTAGTGTGGTAAGAGACATCTGAAGAAGTGTGATCCTATACCTATGAATAATATATAATTCTGCAAGTTAATATTATTGCAATAAAAAATTAAAGGAAAAATTCTAAATCATTTGAAAAGACTTGTCAAAATTACAAATCCCTGTTTCACTCTGCCATTTCTAATTCTCACAACCCCCATACCATATCAGAATGAAGGTGGGCTGCACAGTAGAATGTGTAACCTGAAAATATTTGTCACATCATCCTATTGCTTCCCCTATTCACACTCTTCCCCTCACTAACTGAAACTCATCTGAAGATTGTGAGATACTTAAAAACAGAAAATGTTATCTTACTTTTAATGCTACAGAATGGACATTATACAGGTTTAGTAACAAATTATTTTGATATATAAGGAAAATCTATTCTAAATCATATCCTAAATCTATCTTGAAAGCTTAAGACAATTTTGACAACTTATTTCTCTATCTTAAAGTCAGATAAAAGACTATTTAGAATTTATTCACTTTGAAACTAGTGCTTCATGAATAAGCAGGAAGAGTGTCATATATAGGATCCTAAGGATTAACTTCTGCCAGTGAAAACAAAATAACAATGACCTCAATGGAAATCCTCAGGGGATGCTTTGTTAAAAGTCCTTATAACTAAATCAATTAAATCAAAGACCATGGCTTGCTGAAATGCGGCTTTCCCAGGGTAGATTTGTACTAGCCAAGCTAGATTTTAGTGTTTGTGACTGTACAAATTCGTCAGTTTCACAGATTCATGGAATGCTCTATCAGTCTGATTTTATTTGGGATCTATAAAAGAACATAAAGCTTCTGTAGTTTTATTTAATTCTCTTTATTTTCAGTAAAATGAATTATGTTCTTTACCAGGATGGAAATTAAAACAGCATGTTTCTAAAGGTTCACCAAGAAACACTAAAACAATACAAACAAAACACTACACAAACACACATTCATACACACATATTCATAGGTTACAATGGTGAAGTAAGCTTGAGAATTTTTGTAAATTCCTTGGATATTCTAAACACCCATTGTCATATTAACAACTCCAGTAAGTCCTGTAGTAAAAAATGTTTTATTTACCTAAATTTTTCCCCATATTTATTTGACCACCAGTATGTCCCTATCACGGAACATATTTTAGAAAATGTGGAAGAAAATCATTAGACTTTGGGAACAGCTGAACTCTACAGTTAAATTTCTTTTTCACCAAAAATCATAATTCTCAGCTTTCTACTTGATAAGCACATTAATCAAATTACTTGTTAAGTCACAAGTAATTTAAGAGATAATGTACACATTTAAAGTTTCAAGCTAGTTTCTGCATCTCATCTCTATAAAAATAATTCTTCCATATTCTCTCTCCTAGTCCAGTGAAAGTCTCCGTAAGCATTTTAAACCACTTATGCAAATTAGTCCTCGGCAGCCAAGAAAAAATTTTGCAAAACCTGAACGAGCTCCTAAAGGTTCACATGAGCACCATGGTGATAATGAAGCCCACAAAGCCAACCAACTGCCCAAGTCCCACCTCCCACGATTTCTTGAACTCAGACCTAAGCAGTGTCATGAGAATGTTGCAAAGCCTCATGGTCAAGTATCACCAGCCACCTCTAGTGTTCCAGTAGCTGAAAATAAAGTCAGTGTCACCACTCCTTCCACTGCCTCTGACAGCAAAATTACAGGAGTTGCTCCCAGCATCCTCCAAAACACTGCTCCTGCAGCTGCCCCTGATACTAGCACTGCCCAAGCCACTACACCTGCCACAGGCCCTGACACTAATCCTGCCCAGGCCACTGCCACTGCTGCTCCCTCCCAGTATACCACCGCTGCCCCCAACACGAGCACCCCCATTGCCCCTGCCCCAGTCACCACTGCTGCCCCCACCCCAGCCACCACCACTGCCCCCACCCCGGAAACTACCACTGCTGCTACTGCCCTGGACACCACTGCAGCCAGTCAACAATAAAAGTCTCAGAAAATTCTACAGAGTACAAATGTGACAAACCACAAAAAAAAGGTAAACGATTATTTTCTAACTTTTTTTAACTAAATGCATAACTTTGAGATGTGTCTAAATAAGACCAGGCGGGATTTTTTTTTTGGTTTGTTTTGTTTTTTGTTTTCTTTTGCTACATCAGAAAGAAGGATAAACAAATTGTTTCAAATTGTGCTATATGGATGAGAAACTTATTTCTCTTTTTCTTCAAAAAACAAAACTTGGCCTCCTTGAGAGGACAGGTCATATTCATGAACCCTCTGTTGACAGATTTCTACAAAAGAGTGGAACAATTAAAAGATTCACCAAATGTGTATATATTTTGACCTTCTGGTCCCAAAGATAAAACAAATATTATCTTTCTCAAATAATCACTTTAAATCAGGGCCTTAGTAAATAAAGTTTATACTTCAAAGTATATTAATTCCCATAAATATTCACTTGATACAACAAAATGTCCCCCACCCTCCCATGTTCCATCAATTCCAGTAAAGCAAAAAGGATGAAATATTTCAGCAAATATTACAATTCACCATAAGAATAGAAACAAAACCCACAGAAAGTCTCCTGACATAAACACTGAAACACACATCATCATACTGAGAAAAGAAGATTGAGAAACACAATATTTTATATTGTTCCTATTTCTGAACACAGATCCACCTCATAAATATAAGTGAGAACTATCCCAAATATAGAAGATAAAAATCACAATAATAAATCCAATTATAGAACACTTAAAATAGCTCCAATACTGCTAACGTACTAAATATTCCTTTTTTTACAAAGTCTCACTTAATATTCATAACAACCCTGTAAAAATGAGGAAACTGAAGCTTTGAAAACTTATGTGACTTTCCCGGTCAGTCTTCAAACTCACATTCACTTAATTCTAAAATATCATCTGTGAATGTCCTACACAGCATTCAGCTATTTGAAAATAATTGGAACATTGTTTAATTGATGACTTATGGTATTTTTGGTGTTTTTGTTTGCAGATCCTGAGAAACTGAATATTGATAAATTTGTGAGGACCTTCTCTCGCCATTTTAGTTTTAACAAAAATACAGGGATATGGGTTCTTATTGCTTCTCTTTAGTTTTGCTATACTGTAAAAATTTGCAAAAATAAATCGATGTATGCATTAAATCACATTTGTATTGGTCTCTTCTTTACTTCTCTGTAGAGTTATGGCAGTGTTACCAGCACTTTTATACTCTCAGATACTTCTATAATATACAAAGTAAGGAAATAAAAATATAAATGTTTCGCAGGAAAAAACAGTTTTTTGGAAGTCACCCCATATCACATGTTAAAATACTATAAAGTTTAGAAATTACTTTTCTTTATTATATAAAATACTAGTACATTTAAATACAAATAAACAAAGTTAGAAATAAGGCAATCACCTCTACATAACTATACAAAGAATCTGAAATAAATAGTGTATGCAATGGTAAAAACAATATTGACCAAACAAGGGAGGAAGACGATTTTCTGCCTTTAAGGAAATACCCTTCATGGGAATTTATTACAGGAGCCACAAAATCTTGGTAACAAAGGGGTGACTTTAATAGCTAAAAAAATACCTTATACTGAAGGATAGGAAGTAAAGGTTAAGTATGCACATGACTATGACAGCTATAAAAATATGATCATTAGAGACAGTATGGAATTTCACTGAGTTTTCTTAAAAAGGATTTGTGAAAGTGATGAAAAAGAAACAATTTCAACAAGCAGAAAAAAACGCATGGAATTAAGAAAACAAATAAAATCTACATTTATACCTCCAAATATTTAATAAGTGTATACCATATGGCAGGACCAAACATCTGAGAATATAAAGATGGGTAAAAGACACACCATGCCATCAAGTTGTACCTAGTCCCATAAAACAGAGTCAGTGGTGAATATAGGACATAACTATAAAAATGGATATAAAAAGGGAAATTAAAATCATATTATCAATGACCATGATTAGGATTTTGGATTAATTTTATGGAAAAAGGAAAATCAACAAAGGTTTTGCCACAGACTATTATGGAAAGTAAACCTTATAAATAATACACACTTGGTTTCTTATTTTGAAGTCACCCCATATCACATGTTAAAATACTACAAAGTTTAGAAATTACTTTTCTTTATTATATAAAATACTAGTACATTTAAATACAAATAAACAAAGTTAGAAATAAGGCAATCACCTCTACATAACTACACAAAGAATCTGAAATAGTGTACCAAACTCTTTTCTAAGAGTCTAATATATAACTATTTAATACTTGCCATAGTCTTGTAATTCCAGTTATATTCACACACCAGAGACAGAGAAACTGAAAAATAAAGTTAACTACCCAAATGCATGGAGCAAGTGAGAGAAGAAAAGGCATTCCAATTTGGCTAGTATAGCTTACACACTACACTGATAACTTTTCATAGCAAAGTTAACCTTCCAAAAATGCCCAGAATACCTAGTATTGTATAAACAATTTAGGAATCTATTGTCAAATAAGCTTTGTGTTCTGCTTATGTAAAGTTTTAGAAGGAAGTCTCATTCAATTAGGATTTTACAAACTTCACATTAATGTAACTTATATTATCTTTAACATTAACAATACTTTAGAGTATATTTCTTCTTGAAATATAAGTTCTCCTGTATATTTATTATTTATACTTTACATAGAAGGAAGAAGAGTTAAAGGAGAAAGTTTGGGGTGGAGGGGAAACAGAACTGACAGAGAAAAGCAGGAAGAGTAGGCATGATGAAGGTAGAATCATGAGGAAACAAAAAAAATAAACTTTTAGACAGATGAATTAAGGATTACCAGGATGGGGAAAGGGATGTGTTAGATAAATTAGAAAAATGGGGTCAAATGTATGGGGAAGGATAGAATTAGATTTTTAGAAATGAACTTAATGCAAAATATATACATACAAATATTTAAAGATGCACACCTGAAATGTACATAATTTTTTTTGCAATTTACTTCAATAAAAAATAAAAAAGAATTATTAATGCTATACAATAGGGAAGGCACCTTCAAATAAGTTGCTGCATGACAACCTAATTCTGCCAAAACTCATTACATCAGGAAAATATTTTCAATTTGTTACATAAGTCTCTGCACAAACAACAGTTTGACTCAACTGTCACATGAATTTCCTGTGACCAATGACATTAGTCTTCTTTAGATACTGCTTTAGGTAGTATTCATTCAAGATTTTTTAAGCCATGAATTAAAAATTAACTTGAGTGACTATTCTGTTCAACAGATACATGTTTCATTGTCTTGTATTGCTCTCATCCTTTGTTGCTCACAACCCACTCAGAAATTGTCTTTCAGTTTTGCCAGTGTTCATCCTAAGTCCTTCAGAGTCAATGATCCATTACAATGAAGATCACTCCTAGATTTAAAACACCTGACTGATAATGTGTTGGCATCAAAATGAGAAAGGAAAAATATTCATATTCTAACAAACTGATTTACGGTCAAAGAAGAAAGTGGTTTATTGAATTTTCCATGTTAATTTAGAAACAGAATCATCTTCACTGTTGAGGGATGTATTTGCTAAGTAGCTGATTAGAACCTAAGAGTAGCAAACCAGTGATAAAGTTTATTACACTTGTTTGTGTCATTAGAAATTTTGTAAAGGCAATGGAACTGCGACAAAGCAAATAAAGTACAGTACTTTTTTTTTTTTATAAGTTTTTTTTTTTTTAAAGAGGCATGTATTTTATTCATTTATTTATTTGTTTTGTTTTGTTTTGTTTATACAAGCACTGGGTACAGTCAGAAGCGCGGGAGGGTGAGAGAATTCACCAGAGCCAGAGCGGGGAGCAGAGCAGGCAGAAGGACCGAAGCACACTGCTGAGGGGAGCAGCGGGCGGCAGGAGAGGTCTGCGTGCCATGTGGGACCCTCTTCCGGTGGCCGGGGAGCAGCCAGGGATCGAACTGGCGCCGCAGAGGCCGCGGGCAGCTTTGCAACCCAGCGCTCAACCACTGCGCCACCGGGGAGGCCCAAGTACAGTACTTTAAAACTAAGATCAATTCTTTGTTCCTACACTACCTATGATTCCCAAGAGATTTTTAGAACAAGCATTTAATTATGCTGTAAATTCAGTGTCTAGCAATGTCTGATACCTAGTAGGCATTCCATAATGTTGAATAAGTGACTGAATGAACAAAGGAAAAACTAAACTCCATGACACCAGAGAAATAAATACCACATTTTTCAAATGAAAAAACTGTGTTACAATAAGATAAAATAATTTGCCCAGTATCACCCAAAAAATAAATGCTGGTATTTAGCTTTGAAGTAAAGTGATCTTACTGATAGTTGATTTATCTCTGTAACTTACCATAACATTAATGTTAGTTCAGTTTTTGAAGGTTATTTAGATTTGGGAAGCAACGTAAAATACTGATTAATGCAGGATTAAGCCTTGGAATGAGCAAATTAAGGCTCAAGTCTCACTCAGCTAATTAATATCCATGTGTTATAAAAAGGTTATAATAGGAGTCATGTTATAAAAAGGTTATAATAGGAATTATAAAAAGAAGTTAAGTTGTAAATAGGAATTATAAAAAGGTTATAATAGGAGTCATGGCATCCTGCCATGTGTTATATAGTAAAAACTTAACAAATAATAGTTGCTATTATTATCAGTATATAATAATTTGTAAAAACTATAGATGTGTGAAATCATCTAGCACAGGAAAATTTTGGCCCAAAACCTGCATTTATCAAAAATATAAAGGTGTGATTTTTCCAACAGAAATCCACTGCAAAGTAAAAGTATCTTTGTATAATTTCCTCATACTCAAGAAATTTTTTGCTGCCATACAAATTTACATGTCATCATAAAACTTAATTCAATTTTACAAGTTAAAAATGGCAAGCATCATCTATCTTTTTAAAAGAACTTATTCTTTCAGTTCTTCATTTGCCTCAGAAAACTTCCCACCATT